TTTGCTTGAACTTCATATTTACAGAGTTCGCCTCGAGCAGTACATACACACCAACTTTTGGCCACTTCACTGTCCACGAAAAGTGGCTTCTTATGCACATATGGGTGAAACCCAAGGCACGCTCCTTAGGAGCTCTGCCGAGGTGAGTAACCCATTGCAGAATTTGTATATGTAACTTCTCGTGTTCTTCAGCGCGACGCTGAATTCATTTTGAGCGATTAAATCCTCTGTGCGACAGCTCCCATATTGCAGACGAGGAAACATAGAACACGATCTTATACCCAGCCTTGGTTTGATGCTGGTGGCAACGCCCGCTGTATCCCAGATGCAGCGGTTTTTGATGTTGTTATAGTTTACTCAGATCCTCTCGCTCCGCTCGCCCGTGTCCCATTCCTCTCCATCCTCGAGTGCCGAGGCGTTTTTTTGGGGCGCACCGAGGGGCACCAAAGTGTGCTCGGAAAGGATTATGGACACCTGGGTGCTCCGTCGTTCTCGCCCTGCCCGTTCGCGCCAGCAGAGGCGCCGCATACTTTTGCGCACTGCTGGTGTGCTCGGGACGTAGCAGTGGCGCTACATACTTTTGCGCCCTGCTGCTTGTGCACTTTGAGGAGTAAGAGGGTGACAGGTTATTTCTTCCTTTCCCCGAGTCCTGCCCTTGCGGGCGGGATTTGGGACGGGGGGTGTGAAATTAACCCGTTTCATACCCTCGTCTCTACTCCGCATTCGCCCGGTTGCTTGCCTTTTGGGCTCAGATATTGGCTTAGATCAGGACGCCGATCGCACAGGAGGACAAGATCCCTATCTTTCCCTCCTTCCTCTACCTACGGACCAGGGGTTCTGCGCATTTGTACTCCAACCCCATGTGCAGATTATGGAGAGCACGATGACGCTGATGGTGATGGCGGTTCTGGTGATGAAGAAAAGCATGATGACGATGATGGTGATGGCGATGACGATGATGATGGTGGTGATGTTGAGGACGATAATGGTGTATGTTGATGATGATGGTGATGGCGTTGCTGTTGTTCTCATGATGATTATGATGAATGGGTTGGTGGTGGCGTCGGTGATGATGTGGGCGATGATGATGGTGATGCTGATGTTTTTGGAATTGTTGATTGCGATCACCACTATGATCACGATAGTGGTGGTGGTGATGCTGCTAATGGTGACGATGCTGTCTATGATGATGAGGATCATGATGCTGGTGGTGGTGGTGATGATACTTGCGATTGTGATGATGTTTGTGATGATGAGGATGAGGATGCAGAGGTGTAGAAGAAGGGCGCGGTGGTTGTGTGATGGTGATGCTGGTGATGTCCTCGGCGATGCTACTGACGGTGAGGATGTTGACGACGATCATGCTCACATGAGGAGGATTATGATTATGATGATGCCGACGAGGGCCAATATGATTCGCGTAATGATGATGATGACGATGATGTTGATGTTAATGTGAATGATGATGACGATGATGATGAGGATGATGCTGATGATGATGATGATGACGATGCTGATGATGATGATGATTATGATGGTAATGATGACGATGATGACGACGATGGCGATGATGATGGTAATGCTGATGCGGATGTTGATGAAAACGATGATGATGATGACGACGATGATGATGATGATGATGATGATGATGATGATGAGGAGGAGGAGGAGGAGGAGGAGGATAACGATGGGTGGGCTAGGCGGTGAGGATGAGCTGGACAAGGAGCATGATGACAAGGATGAGGACAGTAAGGAGAGTTGAGGAGAAAAAGGGGAGTCCGAAGAGCATGATGGAGGAGGTCAGGTATGGGGGCAACGGATGGGGCCGAAGACGGGGCCTTGGAGGAGCCGAGGATGCCAAGAAGGAGGAGGAGGAGGAGGAAATGGAGGAGGATGAGGAAGAGGATGAGGAAGAGGACGAGGAGGAGCAGGAGGAGGAGGAGGTCATGTATTTCACGGTGAGCTTGAGGTGCCGCACCGAGGCGTGCGAGGGCAACCGCACGTGTGTCCGCCACCGAAGTTCCTCCCGACCCTTCCTGTCGTGATGAGCCTCTTGGGCCTTGCCGTGATCCTGGCATCCAAGTTGCGCTCCCTGCCAGGACAGGGTGTCATGTGACGGTGTCCGAATCGATCGCGACAGGCTGTGTCTCTCCGCGCTCCTTGGGGCCCCCCTCTCCCCCCCAGTTCCCTCGCGCCACGGCCGGAGTGCGGGGGCAGGGTGCGGCGGTTCGGGCTGGCTGCAGTTATGTGGAGTTCTCCGTGTATCGTTGCTGGACAGGTCGCGCGCTCTGGCCTTTTCCATCTTGTTCTCTTGTCTTGTCCTAGGTCGGGCTTCAGCCGTCTTGCCCTCAGTGCATGGATGAATGAGTGAGTGAGGAGGGGAAGGAGGAAGGTGTGGATGCAAAACGGGGATGGGGTGTAAGAGTAGGGATGTTCCGAGAGCAGGAGGAGGGATGAGTAGCAGGCAGGATGACGCAGGACCATGAGTCTGCGCCGGGCGAGGAAGAGGCAGCGGAGGATCATGACGACGACGATAAGGACGAGGAGCAGGAGGGTAGTAGGATGAGAAGCAGGACGAGGGGCGTGGAGGGCAGGAGGCGACGATGTGATGGTGATGATACTGATGACAATGATGCTGATGATGGTGATGGTGATGGCGATGGTGATGATAGATGGTGATGATGCTGACGCTGACGCTGACGCTGATGATGATGATGATGATGATGATGATGATGATGATGATGATGACGATGATGCACATGATAAGGATGATGATAAGGATGATGATGAGGCTGATGAGATGAGGATGGTGCAGATGGTGACGGTGATGATGACGACGGCGATGATAGCAGCCGCGGTGATGATGGTGATGTTGATAAGGATGAACTGTGAACGGACATGGCGACGATCATAATACGGAACGTGAAGATGATGATTCTTATGATGTTGATGATAAGTAGTGCTGGTGATGATCGCGGTGATAACGACGCTCATGATGCGTGTGATGGTGGTGGTTATGGTGGTGGGGAGGATGGCGGCGACGGCGACGGCGATAGGATGTAGGATGATACTGATGGGGATGCATGTGATGATGAGGATTCCGAGGATGAAGCTGTTCTGATGCTGTTAATGATGATGTTGTTGCTGATGATGGTGACGACGGTCATGATGATGATGATGAGGCTGATGATGATGCTGATGCTGATGACGATGGTGATGCTGATGATGATGATGTTGATGCTGATACCGATGATGCTGCCAATGCTGGTGACATTGATATAGATGAGACGGGACAATGAGTAATAATATGCTGGCTCGATGACCAGGATGGTGATGATGCTGCTGCTTTGGATGATGATGATGATGATGAGGAGGAGGAGAGGTGATAGACATGGTCGTACGTGGATGCACATATCTACATAGCACCAAGCAGCTGCGGATCAGAGTGATGGGTCGTCAAGGTCGCTGGCATTTTGCCAAGCTCTTAACAATGCCCGCCGCAGGCGCCATCATTTTCTGCACATTGCACAGCGAGTCCGCCGCAGTCGCAGTTTGTTCCGTCAACGCAACGTGTGTGTGTGTGTGTGTGTGTGTCGCGTGAGGGTCGCAGGGTGGGTCGCATGGTGGGTCGCATGAAGGGCCGCGGTGTTGTCGCGGGTTGGGTCGCGGGTGGGTGGCGGGCGGGTCGCGGGCGAGGACGACGACACCAATGCAACGCAACCAACACCAACAGCAGCAGCAGCAACAACAACATCAATCCGCACCGCTGAACTCCATTTCAGCCTTTCACCAATGGTGAGTGAATGACCGTTCGGCCACCTCACTTTGATATGCGTATCCACTGGCCTTCGGTCCATTTTGCCACTTTCTCAGTGTTGTGTGTCGTAGGCCTCTTGCGTGCCTCTTGGGGTCTCTTGGGATGCCTCCTTGGGGCCTCTTCGGGGCCACTCGGGGCCACTTGTCGGCTTCTTGGGGGGCTGTTGTGAACATCTTTGCCTCTTGTCTTGGCGGCCTCTTTGCGGTCTTGGGTGCCGTCTTGGCACAGGAAGACTTATGGGACCAGTTTGTGTTCGCCCCTTCGGGGCCGATATCAATGAGACGCACGTTATAATATTCTAAATCTCGGGGAAGGTCGCGCAGGTCGCACAGTAACAACTAGGATTTCTTGGAACTGTCCAGCTCCGCCTGAAGGATTCATGTTCAGCTGGGTTTGGATGTGCCTTACTCCTTCCATGTCTCACCACCCACCAAGCCACTCCAACCCAACCCGAAGGCCCCACTCTGCCCTCCATTTCCAGTGGGGGGGTGTTCGGGGAACATAGGAAAAAAACATATGGACCGTACCCCCCCCTAACCCGATATTCGGGTCTTCGGGTTGGGTTGGGGTGGTCTGGCAGGCAGTCCATGTCGAGGCAGCTCCGCGGACTCCCAGCCGATACCCAGCTCCTGCGCTCCCCGGGGCCCGAAGCCGGCATCCAGAGGCTCCGCCCGGTGAACAGCTGGCCGTCTCGATTCACCCTCGGCAGCAGTGGGCGACACTTGAGCGATGCCAGAAAAACGGGGCCGTCTTTGCCGACATTCGCGCGCAGGCTGCCCGTGAAAGGTCGCGGGTGAGCGCCCTCGTCTTCAACGCGGCGTGCCGCGTTGGTGGCCCGCGTGAGCCGCGGCGTAAGGTCGCTATGCCATCTTGCGTGAAACCCGTTTTTGATCGCCTCTCTACTGTGGTAACTCCGATTTGTATTTTTGCCATCACAGGCGATCCATGGATACAGTCAATCCGCATAGTAAGGATGGAGAACCTTCCCAAGGGTACCCATGCATCCTTGCCTCCTCGGTCCATCCTTGGCCAGTTTCGTTGGCCGCGTTGTGCTCGAAAAGATTCGAAATGGCCTTCCAAGGCCCTTGCATCCTGATCGCGCATCCTTACTATACTGGTTGACGGTACTCCAGAATCGGCCCTTACCTGTTGTAGAGGTCTCCGGCCCGCGCTGCCGATCCAGGGCGCTCCAGGACGCTCTGTGCGGATTCGTCGTCCTGTTCAAATGGGTTGCGAGCTTGGCCTCCAGGAGGCAGGAGAGGGGATGAGAAGCGAGGGGGAGGGGAAGGAGGGGATCAGGAGAAAGAGGAGGAGGAGGGTCAGGAGCGAAAGAAGGACGTACGCGTACATGAATCCACGCTGATTTCGAGAGCACGCATTGCGCGAATTTTCGCATCACGCGGCCGGTCTCGCGGATCGAGTGACCGTGTTCATGTACGTAGTTTGACGCGTACGTCTTTTGTGGGCTGATTCGCTGGGAAAGAGGGTGTTGGCAGTCGCACTAGACAGTATGTTGTGGTGACTGGAGTGTTAGGTGCAGCGTGTAGCGCGATCCACCGTCGCTGGCCTGATGAGGTTCTCTCGGGGGGGATAACCAGGGGTTCCCCCAGCCCTGACCAAAATCCGAAGGTGGGTCAGGAACCGGGGGCCCACACCCAACCTCCCCCCCCTCGTGTCGGACCCCCCCCCCCTTCCTGTCCTCCAGACCCCTTCGACCCCGGGAACATTTTTTTAGTGAGGACGTCTACCCTTTCCCGCCCCACACATTGGGGCCAACATTTGGGACGGCGACGACGCTTACGACGACGCTGACGACGGCGACAAGTTCAGCGGCGGCGGCGGCGCACCTGTAGCTGGCGCCCGCGCTAGGCGCCGGCTTTGATATAATGCTACTATTGCTGGATCCAGCTCTCCCAGAAACTTACCAACACCCTACAGTACTCTACCCGATTCGGCTATACTGTACATTACTTTAATTCTCTCTACTCTACCTTATTATACCCTACCCTGATATACTCCTTGTTTCATGTTTCTCTGCTCCGACTCTATTCTACTTCTTTTCTATCATTGTCAGCTCTACCCTGCTCTACTCTATTCCTGCTCTGCTCTACTCATCTACTCTTCTCTAGTCGATTCGAATCTACGCTATCTACCCTACGCTGCTCTGCCCCACGGTGTCCCTACCTGCTTCATTCCACTATTCGGCTACACCTAAGCCATATTCTACTCTAGTCTATTTTGCTTTATCAGACTCTACTCGACGCCTACTCTACTCTGCTCGTCGTCGTTGTTGTCGTCTTCGGCGTCTGCGTCCTCGCCATCGCTGTCGTCGCGGTCGTCGGCGTCGTCGTCGCGGTCGTCGTCGTCGTTGGCGTCGGCGTCGGCGTCGGCGTCGCCATCGGCGTCGTGGTCGTTGTCGCAGTGCGTCGTGCGTCGTGCGACGTGCGTCGTCGTCGTCGTCGCTGTCGTCACTGGCGCCCGCGCCAGGCGCCAGCTCTGATAGAATGTCACCAGGGCTCGATCCATTTCTAATAGAAGCCCAATCAGGCCCTACTGAAAGCTACCCCGACCTACTCTACACTACTCTACTCTATTCTGCTTTCGTCTACTCTATTATGATTGTTTCTGTTCACTCTACTCTACTCTACTCTACTTTCCTTTACCTTACGCTACGATGCCCTATTCTACTCGACCCCCTCTCAAGTCGAAGATCAATACTGCATCATGCTCTACAGTGATCTTACTCTACTCTACTCCCACTTCGCTCAAGTCTGCCCTACTCTAAGGCATATCTGCTCCACCCCCCTCTAACTCCAATGTATCATACTCTGAGTAACTGACGCATTTGCTCTTCTCTAGTCTATCCCAATCCAATACGATGTACAACCTCAGGCTCTACCCTACCCTATTCTTACTCTACCCTCCTCATGCAAGCTGACTCTACTCGACAATACTCGACCTTTTTCGCGATTGTACTCCTACGTTGCGCCTAAGTACCCTACTCCGCTCGTTGTCAGCGTCGTCGTCTTCGACGGCGTTTCTCAGCGTCGTCATCGTTGACGTCGGAGTTGGCGTGGTGGTCGGTATCGTCGGCGTCGTCGGTCGTCGTCGTCGTCGTCGCTCGTCGTCGTAGTCGTCGTCGTCGTCGTAGTCGTCCTCGTCGCCATAGTCTTCGGCGTCTTCGTCGTCGTCGTCGGCGGCGTCAGCGTCGGCGTCGGCGTCGGCGTTGGCGTCGTCGTCGTTGTCGTTGTCGTGGTCGTCGTTGTCGTCGTCGTCGCTGTCGTCGTCGTGCGTCGTGCGTCGTGCGTCTTGCCTTGTGCGTCGTCGTCGTCGCGGTCGTCGTCGCCGTCGTCGTGTCGTCGTCGTCGTTGTCGTCGCCGTGTCGTGCCAAAGCAGGGTCTCGAGCCCCCCAACTTCCCGGAGGGGGGGTGCTTCCAATAATTCTCGGGGGGTGGGCTTCTTGGACAACCCCAAGAGTTTTCGGGCGGATTGAAACCATTCCATAATTTCCAGGGGGGGGCGACCCCCCCCATGATGTGCAGGGGGGGGGAATTCTTCCCCCTCTGCCAGCAGCGGCAGAAAGCGCTCCCTCGCATGTTTCCTCGAGTCCGTCTGATGAGATTGATGGTGGGACGGGTTGGCTCTTTGGTGGGTTTTTGTGCTGGGGGGCCCGGCCCCTGCCCCGCCCCCTGTCACGCCCCCGTCACCCGCCCTGGCCCCAGGCACCGGCCCTGGCCCTGGCCCCTGCCTTCGCCCTGGCCGCTCTTTTTGCAAGACATCTGCCAGCATCAGGCTCATGCACCATCCCAGAGGTTGACGTATAAAAAATCATCATCATCATCATCATCATCATCATCATCATCATCATCATCATCATCATCATCATCATCATCATCATCATCATCATCATCATCATCATCATCATCATCATCATCATCATCATCATCATCATTTAGCTCAGCAGGAGGCGTTTGTGGTCCGCGTGTGTGATCCGCCGCCGTTACCTCGCTCAAGTCTTTCAGGGAAGGCCAGCGTTTCTCGTGGAAGCGGTGCCCCACTTCGTGCGTTCCCTTCAGACTGCAGTGATAGTCCGTGGCGCGGCCGATCCCTGTCCTGCGGGCATCGGTGGGCCGACGCTGAACTCGCCATCCCTCAGCGGCTCTTGCCCCGCTGGGGAGCGGCTCCTGACGGCGGCGCCTGTCTCGACCGCCGTTCGAAGAGCTGGGCTCTCCGCTTCGTGCACGGCTTCGCGGCTGGGCTCCTGGTGTCCGTGGTCGCCATCCTTGCGAGAGTCAGCGCAGGAGGAGGCCGTCGGCGCCTTCTGGGTGCACGAGTGTGCAGGAGGAGAGCGCCGTCCACGGCAGACCGACCTCGTGAAGGTGGCGGCGGAGCAGGAGGCCTCAGCGTCTCGCTGACGCGATGCCGATGGGCGCTGGCAGCTTCTACCTTGTGCGGTTCGGCGCGCCTGGGCGCGAGGCCTGGCGCGTACGGCTCGTCATCCAGGGCACGCTCATCATGACGGCCGTCGGCGTCGTTTGCCACGAGGACCAGGTGCCCTCCAGGGAGGTCAGGGGCAGCAAACCTCTGAGCGAGCAGGGGGCCGCGGTCGACGGGTCTGAGGCGGCGAGCGTCTGCCGTTTCGAGCCCCTCCCCACGGCGCTCCAGGTGTGGGACGCGGTGCGCGAGGCGGTGGCAGGCGGTGCGGGGGCGCTCCCGCCCGAGGACTTCGCGCTGGAGCTCGGCGAGGGGAGCGTGCTCGGGAGGCCGCCTGGGCCGCGCTCTTTGCGCGACCCGCACGCGGGTTGCCTGCCCGCCGCGGCGGGGTCGATGGAGGCCGCATCTACGCCTCCGGTGGGGACCGCCGCCGCGCCGCTCCTGCCTCCTGCCCCTTCGGGGGATGCGTTGGCCACGGCACTCAGGGATGACGCTCCTCCTGGCGCCCACGCTGGAGGCACGGCCACGCCTCCTGCGGGAAGCCCCCGTTCGGCGACCCGCGCATCCTGGCGGTGGCTATGGGCTCGCGTGGTCGCCGCGACCGCTCCTTCGGCGACGCGCTCAGCAAGCAGACCGAGTGCGAACGTGACGACTGGCCCGTTCTTGGGCCTCCGACGGTGCTCGGGTTCCTCCTGTTCATGCTTCGGATGGCTGGAGGTGCTACGGTTTGGCACACGCGGGGGCTCGCCGTCATCGGGCTAGCCGAAGGCAACGAGGCGGTACAGCATCTCGAGACCATCTGCCGCATCCTGGAGGTGTGGAGGGTGTACGCCCAGCTCGCCATCCCTGAGCTGGCCAGCTTCGAGTTTCTGGCGCGGCAGTTGCAGCTGATCGATGGGGAGAGACTGCGTCGAGAAGACTCACGAGGCGGCCGTCGCGCTCCTGGGGCGAGGCAAGAAAGACCCCACGGCCCAGGACGCGTTGTCCGCGGAGGTGGGCCATCTCCTGGGGATCGGAAGGACGAAGGGCAACGCGTGCATCAGCCCCGCTCGGGCGCAGTTCATCGCCGAGCAGTTGTGGAACGAGGCGGCGGCAACGGACGAACGACGCAAGGCGTGTGAGGAGCGCGCCCTGCGGGCGCCATGGCGCTCCCTGGGGGCGCGAGCTGGGAGGGGCCAGCCCCAGGGCTGCCCAGCTCGCCGAGCCCCTGGCCCCCTGGCCCCCCCCTGGCTTGGGCGCCCCACAGGCCCCTCGCCTTCGCCAGCGGGATGCTCTGCCGCTGCCGCCCCTCGACGTGGGCGACCGTCTCCACGCCGTCGCTGGTCGGCGGCCCCGCCGGCGGGCGGCGCGCGGCGCGGCCTGGCGCCGGTGGTGCAACGAGGGCATCGACGCACTCAACTGGCTCCACGATCGTGCTGGGGCGGGGCGTCTCGCAGGCGAGGAGGTGGTCCGCTCCCAGGCGCAGCCTGCTGCTGTTGGAGAGCTGCAAGAGCATTGCCGTCGTTTTGAGTTGCCTCCTGGGCACAGTGAGCAACGCCAGTTTTGTGAAGCATCCCTCGCAGAGGTGCTCTCGACGACCCCAGGCTACCAGAACGCCTCGCGGGTCAGACCCTGCGACAAGGCCCGCGTGGCCTGGCCTGCGCTCTCGGGACCTCCCGTCGAGGTCGGCTCCGTCGCGCAGCAGGCCGACGCCGTCCAGTTACAGGGTTGGAGGCAGAGTATGCTGAGATCCGCAGGCGAGGTCGAGGAGCTTCAGGTGTCGTTAGGTGTTCAGCAGCCCTATGTCGACCCTCTGCTTCGCGATCCTCGGAAGTATGT